GAAGAGAATTTCAAGTTGGCCTTGCCCTAGTGACAACAGGATGATGTGTATGAGTGTCATTATTGCACAACCACTCCTTCCATTTGGTATGCGGTCTTCCTGGCTTCCCATGCCAACATTCAATACCATGGGAAGACACCATCAATGGTGAACTCTATTTATGGGGCACTTTCAATTGTTTCTGATATCACTAAGCAGTTGTCCTGCTGGGCCTTTGAAAATTAAATAATTTCTGTTCATCTTAAAGAAATTCAGAGAAACTCTCTACCCAGTTTCTCTATCCTAAAATTGAATGGAATATTTTGAAAGGCCAACTCATCTTCAGAATGAACTCTAAGTGAAATTGTTGGGCCACCAGGAGTTGTAATCAAAACATATTTTTTGGTTGAGACTCTAGAAAGAGTGCGGAGAAGAGCAACAAAGATGATTAGGGGACTGGAGACTAAAACATATGAAGAACGGTGGCTGAAACGGGGTATGTCTAGTTTAATGAAAAGAAGGACTAAGGGAGACATGATAGCAGTCTTCCAATATCTCAGGGGCTGCCCCAAAGAAGAGGGAGTCAAGCTGTTCTCCAAAGCACCTGAGGGCAGGACAAGAAACAATGGATGGAAACTAATCAAGGAGAGAAGCAATCTAGAACTAAGGAGAAATTTCCTGACAGTGAAAACAATAAGTGGAACAACTTGCTTCCAGAAGTTGTGAATGCTCCAACACTAGAAGTTTTTACAAAGATATTGGATAACCATTTCTCTGAAGTGGTGTAGGATTTCCTGCCTAAGCAGGGGGTTGGACTAGAAGACCTCCAAGGTCCCTTCCAACTCTGTTATTCTATTCTATTTTCTCACCTCCTTGAAATGTGTGAGCACAAACCAAGACATGGCTGACTTTTGGATGACGTTAAGGTTGAAAGAGGTCCTATTTTGACAGGGAAAGAGTTCCACAAAGAAGACATGCTGCATGTTCAACCTTCCCAGGACTTTCTCCCGCACAACCCCTGTCCACATATGAAAGAACATTACTTGTGATGTGAAGAGAAGCTGCTAGGTAGGGGTAAAAGAGGTTTGTGCATTATCAGTGTCTAAAATGTGGACCACAAGGTTTTTGTGTTTTGGTTTTTTGGAGAGAATTTTCTCATGTTAAAATTAACATTGTCAATTATTGCAGGGATCGTGTCTTCAGATTTGTACTATTTTTCAGGCTGGCCTTTGATGACCCAGTCTCTCAAAGATAGGTGGAAAACAGGTTAATGAAGTTCCACCACAATTCACTCAAAAGAGTTCCCCCTCTGTGCGTTTAGACATCTTCCTCCTGTGTCACACTGGTAGAAATTTTTGGAGGGCTACTTTATTATAGCTTTTAGGGTCCTTGTTTAGGAGTTTTGGAACGAGTTTTCCAACTGACTTAATATAGTCCAAGAACTAGTTTGGTGTAGTAGTTAAGGCACCAGGATAGAAACCAGGAAATTGGGAGTTCTAGTCTCAGAGAAGGTAATGATGGTAGGAATCGTTAGAGTGGAACAAGAAGAAGGGGCAGGCAAAGAGCACACTGCTCTAATAACATCAAAACCGATGCAAAATTGAACATCCAACAACTGAAAGAAGCTGTGTTCAATAGGGTAGCATGGAGACTTGCCTATAAAGATGGCGTGGGATTCTATTGGTTCTCACCTATTTGCTAGAGCCTGTTGTTAACTTTCTAAGCAGTTTGGAGAACCAGTTGTTGGAATAAATCTCCTTTTGTTTTGTTTTTTCACTTTACAGGGCTAATCCTGTAAGGAAGGCAGGAAGGAAACATTCTGGCATTGTTTCTAGTGTAACCTTTATTGCCCTGCTTACGGACACTGCCTCTCGTTAACCCTTATTGCATTCTTTGGAGAACTCCTTCTGTCTCTGGAATTATTTTTCCTTCGCTGGTACTTTCTTAAAGGGGAAGGGTTGCAGCTTTTTATCCTGCTGCTGGGAGGAAATACTCCCCTGTTGGAGTTTTTCCAGCCAGGATCAGTGCTTTGAAGAAATAATTGAATTATGAGCTTCCAGAAAGAAGCTTTTAATGACAAGGAACCAAGAAGTCACCAAGAGCCAGACATGACTACATTGAAACAACCCTAGAAAGGCAGTTTGGCAACCTTCAGCCAGCCGTGCTCTCTCAGCCCCAGGAAGGAGGCAATGGCAAACCACCTCTGAAAAACCTTACCAAGGAAATTGCAGGGAGTTTCTGAGAACTGGACATGATCGTATGGAAGGGGGAAAAAATGTCCTGCTGGCACTGAGGGAGATGAACCCTTGAGGCTGCCTCTTCTCTAAGATCTAAGGATGATTCATGGTATGTCTCTATCATGTTCAGAATTGCTCATCTCACCACTGGCAGAGACAGAGCAAGATGGCATGCGGAAGTCTTTGTGTCTTCACTTGGGCTGCTGTTGCTAGGGAGATGCAGCTGAGAATGGGTTGAGTAATTGATAGTAGCGTGCAGCTTTTCCGTCTTCTTTGAACCTACCTGGCTTAAGTATTTTAATGGGCATTAGATTGTTCCCTCCAGACCATTTCTTATACCAAAATGGAGCCTTGGCATTTCAAACCAGAACATGACCATTTAGAAAATAAGAACAGCAACAGTTAGGGAGAGGACATAATGAAAAATAAAACCTCTTCAGAGAAATGTGTTTTATTAGCGTGCATTCAAATGGTAAAAAGGTTTCTCTTTTAGCCACCAGTCCAAACATAGTTGACTTCAGCTAGCTTTAGATTCAAACTTTAGCTAGATTAATGTTCCTCAGTCTTGGTAGCTTGAATACGATGTGTAGGTTTCAACTCCTAGAATTCCCCACCCGAGAAGAGCAACCAGGATGACTAGGGGACTGGAGGCTAAAACATACGATGGACGTTTACAGGAACTGGGCATGGTGAGTGTAGGGAAGAGAAGGACCAGGGGAGACAGGATAGCCATCTTCCAGTATTTGAGGGGTTGCCACAAAGAGGAGAAGATCAAGCTATTTCCAAGCCACCCGAAGGATAGACAAGGAATAATGGATGGAAACTGAACAAGGAGAGGTTCAACCTGGAAATAAGGAGAATTTTTTTTAACAGTGAGGACAATGAACTGAGCTTCCCTCAGAAGTTGTGGGAGCTTCATCCCTGGAGGCTTTCAAGAAGAGACTGGACTGCCATCTGTCTGAAATGGTGTAGGGTCTCCTGCTTGGGCAGAGGGGTTGGACTAGATGACCTTCCAACTCTACTAATGTGTTAAAAATCTGCTCTTTCCATCCACCAGAAGTGAAAGAAAGAAAGAGATATGGATTCTAGATCCCATGGGGCTTGGACTTCAAAAATAACTCTGGGCACATAGAAAAATTCTGAATCTGGCATGAGCAATATACACTTCTGGTGTTCACCCAGGCTTTGAATGAGTGGTTGCAGCTGTCATTTTGACTTTGTATCCCCTGCTCCTCAAAGGGACACGGCTGGAGGAATGTGTGTGGATGAATGAATGGGAAATAGACGTCCTGTAAAAGAATATTAGGCCCTTCCAAAGATATACAGGTAGTCCTTGACTTACCACAATTGAACCTAACATTTCTGTTGTTAAGTAAGATGGTTGTTTAGTGAGTTTTGCCCCATGTCTGATCTTTCTTGCCACATGTTGTTAAGTGAATTAAGAAAATAGCACCCTCGTTATGTGAATCTGGCATCCCCATTGACTTTGCTTGTCAGAAGGTCACAGAAGGAAATTGCGTGACCATGGGGTGTTGCAATGGTTGTATGTATGAAAAAAGATCACAAGTCCCTGTTTTCAGGGCTGAAATAGTCACTAAATGAACTGTTGTAAGTCGAGGACTACCTGTAGATAGGCAGGCTGTTCCATCTTCTGCCTCAATTGTATTAAATCACAACAATACACATTTTGGAAAAGTTGAAATGAAGTGCCACACCTGCCAACATTTTAAGACACATTTAGAATGAACAAAATGTAATTGTGGGCTCCCTTACTCAAATGCCTAGGGCTAAAAATAAGTTGCTGTTAGATTATAAGAAAAATATATAATAAGATCAAGCCTTCCATGGCAAGTAGACAGCAGGACCCACAAGGACAACTAATAAAACACTGACTTCTCTAGTTTCATCCTTAACTATCCTCACCTCTGGGTTTCTTGGAGGGATTGGGACAACTTGCCACAGCCAACCTGCCACGGGATAGCTTGCTGCGGGACAGTTTAACAATTCAATTTAATTATTTAAAATAAATAAACATTATTTTAATTTTTGCCATTCACATTTCATTCTGTCCCTCCTTTTGCATCTTTTCTTCAATGATTCTGTTCCACCACTTCTTTGGTTTTAGAGTAACTCTTGTCCTGCAGCGAGTTCTCATGCAGCAAGATGGCCATGGCGAGTTGTCCTGCAGTGAGTTGTCTATGGCAAGTTGGCCGTGGTAAGTTGGCCATGGTGAATTGGCCATGGCGAGTTGGCCATAGTAATTTGGCCATGGTGGCTTGGCCGTTAATGAGTTGATCATGGCAAGTTGGCCATGGTGAGTTGGCCATGGCAAGTTGACCATGGCAAGTTGGCCATGGTGAGTTGGCTGTGGTGAGTTGGCTGTGGCGAGTTGGCTGTGGTGAGTTGGCCGTGGTGAATTAGCCATGGCAAGTTGGCCGTGAATTGGCCATGGTGAGTTGGATGTGGTGAGTTGGCCATGGTGAGTTGGCCATGAATTGGTCATGGTGAGTTG